TTTTCAGTAACATTGATTAAACTTCCTTCTACGTATATAATTTTTTACTCTGATTTCGAAAATTTTGTTTGATTTGTTAAAAAAAATCCAAGTGGGAGTGCAGAAAATGTATTAAATAAATTATTATMGGTAAAAAATGCAACAAATAAACGGTACGTGTTGTCAAAAAACAAAATGCATTTTATTATTTAGGAAATAAAAAACTTGACCAAATTTTCATCAATGTTACCGAACCCTTGTTGACCTGTGGAATTTATAAAACTTTCATTGCTAAATAATCCTGCTATTTACTTTGTTGTTGACAATTTTAACACAAATTTTACATCAATAGGTACCTCTTTAGGGTAACAAATAAAATTAGAACTTATCAATGATGTAGTAATTTTTTTGTAAAATTCTTCGCTCATGTCGATTTTGTCTGATATTCGTTTTTATAATAGACAATTTTGTAAACAAATTATTTAAGAAATCAGTTCTACAAAAAATTATAAATTTCTTACTTGGTTATTGTCAAGATATCAATAAATTGCACTAATAAATCTGATGATTGCTTGATAAAAAATTGTGACCAAAAATTGAGGAGTGTGACGGAATATGTCATTTTGAACGAGTTCCAGATTATACTTTTTCTACGGCTAAAATTTAGAAACATTTTGAATAAAAGTGAAAATTTTTTGTTTTGTTGTAGGTATTTAAATTCATAAAATGTTGAAAATTTCAGCAGGTTGTGGTTGCGAGAGAGATGTCTGAAAGGATAAAATCTATTAGTGTCACAACTGAAAAACGGTTAATCAATAAACAAAATGAAAAAATTAAAAAAAAAACATTAATTAAAATTTTAAAATATTAATAAAATTGAAATTTTATTTTATAAATGGCAGGCAACATACAGCAAATCCTTTCGACAAAACAACAATATTCCCATCCTATTATACAGCTGTCCCTGAACTTGATAAAAGTAATTATCATAATTTTTAATTTTAATGGATAATGAAAGGAGTTCTTTTCTAAAATAAATGATATACAGAACAATTTTTTATGTAGGTATAAGTTTTTAAAATGTTAATTTTTTCTTTTGATTTTTGTAATTCCGTAATCCCCGGAGCACTTAAAAATTTTTGGAACATAATCCAATCTACTTTTACTTTATTCAAGTATGAACACAAACGCAATTAATTTTTTTTATAGATATAAATATTTTTTTAAATTCGGATAATATTTACAATATTCACAATCTGTGACGTGTTTAGAATAAACTTTATAGTTTACCCAAAAAACAGTTTTTTTATTAGCTTACTGATTTTATTAATCAATTAGTCCTGAATTTAATATACGAGTAAATTAAAAACCAAACCAATTTCCTAAATGTGTAAAAACCCAAGCACCAGATTACTCTCAGACTATCTCTATTTGTTAAAATGTATAATACATGTTTTGAGTACGTTTTTTAGTATATCCTACACAAAAAAAAACCTACAATAAGCAAAAATACTTGCTACAGACCGAAAAACACAAACCATTTTAAAAGTCATAAAAGTTATAATTGATTTTTCAGTGGTCGATTCGTTTTGTGATTAAGACCGCTTTTGATAAATTAATTATAGCCATCAATTATTTTGTGTTTGTCGTACTTTTTTGACTCGAGATGGACACAAAAAATTTGATTCAAAGGGAAATCTTTTCTTTTGTTACTTATTGTAGAAAAATGTAAAAATTGGTGTACTCAGTTTCGTGTACGGCATACCTTAGATGCGTTTTCTTTGAGAACGAAGTTCTTGGGGTGGTTTCCGTGGGCGAAAGGGCTGCAACCGGCGTCTGAGCGGAATCCCTATATAGCCGTAATTTGACGACATCACCACATTGTCGAAGGAATTGTACCGCCTGTTCGTGCGACATGGGCGATATTTCAACTTCGTTAACCTGAAAATTGATGTATGATTTGGGTTAAAGTGGGAAAAACTCCGACTCACAGCAATAATTTTGTCCCCTGCTCGAATTCGTCCATCCGTGAGTGCAGGTTCCCGAACAAGAGCTCTTACGTAATGTCCTAAAGCACTATCATCTTCTTTCCGCAACGTAAATCCTAGAGATCCCTGTATTTTGGTCAGCGTTACTTCGAATTCCTGCAATTAAAGTTGTTTATTGGAGGCAATGAAATCGATTCGAGCGAACTTACACCATGGTAATAGTCGTCTTCGGGAGTACAGTAAACTTCCGACGAGTGTAAATTAAGACTAGTGGGCGGTTCTCGTCTTGGTGGTGGCGGAGGAACTTCAGATATGGGACTGACACAGCTTAAGACGTCTGGAGGAGGTCGACACACCTTCAAGTCGACTTGATTGGGTGCAGTTCTTAATACTTCTAGAGCCTCCTGGAATTTACATCTTTAATTGAATTGTTTTGAAGAAGAAAAGAGACTCACGTAATTTGTAAGGCCGGTAAGCGTAATTCCGTTAGCTTCTATTATGAGATCCCCTACGTTTAAAAGACCACAAGCCGACGCCGGCTGATGTGGAAACAGTCTTTTGATTCGTATTAGGCCAGGCCACGAGCCGCCGCTGTCAATACCACCAGTCACGCTCAAACCAAGACCTCTTGAACTCTTGCTGAGTTTCACAATGAAAGTACTTTCTGGAATAACGAAAAGGAAATAAGTCGGTGTGGTGGCACACGAAGTCCCCATAACAAACAAATATCCCACTGGAAATTGCTCAAAAACATTACACTCACTCCAGGAAAGAATTTAATTCTTGGAAAAAAGAGAAACAATCAGGGTTTTTACAGGAATATGCAGGGAGACCTAGCGAGCTGGTGAAGTCCATTATTTACCTTTAAATTCTAAGATGTTAAAAAATGTGCGAATCAGATAGTTGAGTTCTAAAAGGGGGGCGAGCGGCAAAGCCGTGAACTCCCTATAAATTTCGACAAATTCCGATAGTATGAGTTCTACTTAGGGGCGAAGCCCCCGATAATTTTGACAAAACATTTGCGAATTAGATAGTGTGAGGTTTAAAAGGTTATAAATGTCGACAAAATCTGAAGGGCGAGCGGCAAAGCCGCGAGCCCCCTATAATTTTTGCTTTCTACACAACATTTTCGAGTCCGACAGGATTTGATATCAGTTTCTAGTTGATAAATGGTTCAAAGGACCAATATCTGTCAAATTATGTATTTTTGAATTTTTTTTCAAAGATTTGATAAGTGGTTTCTAGCCCTTATTTGTAAATTTTGAAGCTACTCCAACTAAAAAAAATTTCTAACTTCATTAATCGTTGACCGATTTTCTTGAAATTTGTAATGCTTCTTTAATTCATTCTAAGTAAGCCACCGCTGGCAAAAAAAACAAAAAAATGTTCTTTTGTTTGAAAATTTGAGGTTTTTGGACTATTTTGAATCAGAAAATTGTTCATTACGGCCCTGATATGGTGCAAATTGTTCTATACTTTGCATTGATTGTACATACATGAAGAACCAGTCAATTATGTACTTTTGAAGTTTTTTTCAAAGATTTGGCAAGCGGTTTTAGTCCTCATTTGTAAATTTTGAGGCTAGTTTAGCACTATAACTACAAAATTGTTGTAAGTTCATTATTTATTAATCGATTTTGTTCAAATTTTTAATGTTGGCAGTAATTCATTCTAAGTGAGCCACCGCGGGCATAAAAAAACAATCTTTTGTTTGAAAATTCGAATTTTTTTTTGAACCATTTTGAATTTTTGTGCTAAGTTTTGTCCTAATTGTATGGAAAGAATCAATCTGTCGAATTCTGGTTTTTGAAATATTTTATTTTGAAAGATTTGACAAATAAAGGCTAAAACCGTTAAAAATCGGTGTTTTTGAATAAAAAATGAGCAAAATACAAATGTTAGTACACAATAAATGTACTAAATTAAATACACAGTGTTATTGTTATGTAAATCTTCCAAAAATGCCAAATTTTGACAGTAAATATAATTAAGTAACATTTATTCTTCAAATAATTATTATTTATATTGACAATAAAATCAAAGAAGCCACCTTTGAAAACAAAAAATTTAGTTATTTTTATTTTTCTTCTCAAAAAGTCTAAGACGTGTTCTGATTAGTTGCTTTTAAAATTGTGCAAAATTAGATCCAATTAAGGGAAGTTAAGTCACACTAAACGCTGATTTGTTAGAAAAATTCCATTCAGAATTCAATAATTATTCACGATTTTTTAAATGGGTGGAGTTACATATCGTTGCTAGGTTTATGTCGGATTTTGGCCAATAAAAAATAAAAACTGGTTTGTTCTCACGATAGTGGTAATTACGTCAATGGGAAATGATTATTATTGGCCCTTGTAATCGGACCAATAAATTAACAAATGTGTCCAACCAATCAAATTCAAGATTATCCATAAAAAACTGTTGTAATTCAATTCGAATTTCCCTTGAAAAAGATGCAAAAATACTGAATTTAAATTAATTTTTCCAATTAGCCACGAAAACTTAATGTTGGATAAAAAAACTATTTCGTCAATTTTTTTCTCAGTGGATTCCAAAAAAAATGCAGATTAATAAAACTTTCATATGACTTATAAAAATGATAAATTTTAAATTTGTTTCCTCAATTGGTCTTGAAAAATTCCAGTTTAGTATAACAAAATCGCAAGTTTTTTTGCATTGAAAAGTGTGTTCTCAGTTGGCAATAAAAAATTACAGTTATCAACAAATTGACAATATTTGCACAATTTTTACAAATCAACACAGAAATGATGAGTTTAAATTTAATCCTTGATTTAGCACTGAAATAGATCGTTTTGGTAATAAAATGCGACTATATTTATAAATTTAAATTTGTTTCCCTCATTGGCTTCGAAAAAACTAATTTTGTAATTTCACGAAATTTTACTTTTTATATGTATTTAGTTAACTGTACCTCGAAGGTGTAATGTATACCTATGTAAAATGTTCCGGGAACTCGATTGACGTCGAGAAAACCGCAAAATCCTTAATAGTTTGGAAGCTATAGTTGTATTTATATTTTGGATATTTTTGACTTTACTAGCAGTTTTCTCACTATTTATCGTAGAATACTAATCTAGTACATCGCCTGAAATTTTCATCTACACATATAGGGCATATAACTTTTTTTTTAAATTTTAATATTTAAAGGACTTTAGCAACTCGCTGAGACACCCTGTATGCCAAACAATCGAGTTTGTAGCACTTTTAATTTAAATGAAACTCCTTTGTATTTTGATTTGTTTGGTGTCTGCGGGATCAAAGCGCTTAAACATCGATTTGGGTCAATCCAGAGTGCAGTCCACCGCAAATGACGTGCCTTTTAGCATTAAAGAGCTTAATTGAGGAGCTAAGAGAGAGTAAGTTCTCGTTGGGTGGCAGTTACGATTAAATAAAATCGATCAAAGTAATTCGAGTTTGCTATCAGCCAAATGCACACGGGGTGTCTCTGCGGACTATGCGGTTCTTCATAATTTCTAGGATAAATTTGGCTGCTTTTGGAGGTATACATAATTCTGCAAGACGGATGCTCGCAGCGCCTGCGGCGGATATATCATGGAGTTGTTTGTGCAAAGTTAGTACTTATTACATTTCCCAAGATGCTGGTAAAATATCACATAACGCTCTCTTCTGTACACACTACATTACACGGCATACGTAATGGGAACTTCCATTTTCATTTTTCATTACTAACAACACAAAATTTTGCAACAAAACACTCCATTTTAGGCGAATTGTGGAGATTCATCGATCGGTGCTGCTCCCGGCAATTAGTTTTAATTAGACAGTCCTCAATTAAATGTCAAGAGAACATAAAACAATTCCCGATTTCCCAATGTTGACGAAATGGCTGGCATCAAAGAGAAAGACCTTAAAATTCATAAACGTTAGTTGCTATTTACTCAAACCGCGCCAAGGAATCAGAAAATCTGTAGCCACTTCGGTGAAATGTAAATTAAAAACGAAATCCGAATTGCAATGAGGAGAAATAGAATTTTCTCGCGATTCGTGTAACGTGGGTTTTCAGAAACGTCTAATTGTGCACTTAAAGGAAAACTTTGCAAATTTCGGTTGAAATAATTGCCTCAAGGCTGTGCAAATATTATATGTTAATTACTTTATTTAATTAAATTTATAATCGCCTACAGATGGAACTCGTTTGATGTTAAATATTACTGACAGGTGCGCAAGAGTGGCATTTAGTGGATGGGAATAATGAGTATAAAGAGCAATAAAAATTAACAAAAAAAAAAGAAAATAGTAGTTTAATATACAAGGGCGTAGCAAAAAAAAAGAATCACTTTTCTTTTGTTCATTCATATTTTTTTTAATAAAAATTAGGAATGTTCCAATTTAGTTGCTGATTTCTTAATTAGACATTAATTGTCATGTAAATTTGCCATGAAATAAAAAGCAATCAAAACAACAAAAACTCGATAACAAACGGTCATGAATTATTTAAAAGTGTAAAGTGAAATGTGTAAAGTGTAATTATTGCATTTTTTTCATAGGCCATTGGTGTTTTTAACAAATTGCGTGTGGCGGCTTGTGGTATATTAACTTTTTTACGAATAAGAAAAAAATTACCACAACAACATTATTTATTAATTAATTCCAAGGGGTATGAAGTCGAATTGTATTTGAATTTCATGTTTTTAAGTTCAGGACTTTCTCAGTAAAAACCCTCTAAATACATCAAAATTATACATAAAAACCTTATGTTTGGTATAATTTTTGCCTTGTTTTTTACTTTTTTACTTAATTTTAATCCTTTTTTGGTGAAAAACTCTTGTCAAATAGAACATAAAGCATTCTATACTAGATTTTGTAATTTTTTGCCGTGAGTTGGAAAAATCATTAAAATTTTGAGTGAAAAGCACTCCAAATTCAACAAAATCGGCGAAAATAACGCATTATGACCTATTTTTTTGTTTTATTGTAGCAATTTTATATTTTGTTCTAGTTAAATAGTTCGAATTAGTAAATTTGTTACTGAGAAACACTTCTAAATTCATTCACTTTTTTGATCAAATTTAGCAATTTTTTATTCTGTTTTGGCAAAATTGATCGAATTTTGCGTATTTCTCTGTAAAAATCGCAATGAATTTAGTTCTTGATTTCTTAATTTGACATTAATTGTCATGTAAATTTGTTACTTTATCCGCAA